CAAAGATCCAGCCTCCAGGCCGTGAGATGCAGGGAGTCCAGATGGAGTGCCTTCCATCGTGGAGGGAGAGAAGATGAGGAAGGCTCAGGAGTCGAAAATGATTGACAGCCATCTGATGAAGAGGGGCAAACCAAGGTTGTCGAGGCCACCAAGGAATGATGAGGATGACGTTTGCTTGATCTTGTCGGATCTTGATGATCGTTTTCTGGATTAGAGGGATGGGCGGAAACATGTACAGCAGCCCTTCCGTCAAGTGAACCATGAACTCATCCCCTTCCAAATTGCTCCCTGCTCCTGCCCGGGAGCAGGACCAGTCACATTTCCTGTTGGTGACAGTTGCAAACATATCTAGGCAAGGAGTGCCTAGTCTCTGGCAGAGGGAATGGAAGACTGCATCGTCCAGGGACCAGTCGTGAGTACTGTCCTGTAGCCAACTCAGCCAATCCGCAAGGACGTTGTTGGTGGAGACCACATGTACCGCAATCAGAAAGATGTGGTGTTCGTAGTACCACTCCCAGATTTGAATGGTGAGATACAGCAGCCATTGGGAGTGTACGCCCCCTTGCTTGTTGAGGTAGTACACAATCGTGGTGTTGTTGGTTGCCAGCTGCACCAAGAGTATGTTTGAAGGCTTACAGAGCCTTTTAAAAATGTAGGCATTCCAGAAGGTTGATCTGAAGACACCATTCCTCTGGCGACCAGTGACCGTTTGCTGTCAGATCCTGGATGTGTGCTCCCCAACCGGTCATGCTGGCATCTGTGGTGAGCTGAAACCAATGGCTGCAACGGACCAAAGGGTCTGCCCACAAGGAGATTGGAGCGGAGAGACCACCAAGTCAATTGCTCTTCCAGTTCCTTCGAAACTGCGAGCATCTTGGAGGGTCAACAGTTTGAACAGAGCCAAGTACCAAGTTGAAGGGAACGCATCTTAAACCTGGCGTGTTGGATGACAGCTGTGGTTAAAGGCCATAAGGCTTAAAAGGCGCTGAACCAGCAGAGCTTCAGCCTTCGCCCCTGCAGTAAAGTGAGGAAGTAAGTCTTGAATTTTTAGAATGCGGTTTTCTGGAATGAAGGAACGGCCTGAGACAACATCCAGAACTCCTCCAATATAGGTCACTTCCTGGGTAGGAGTCAACTTTGACTTCTCATGGCTGACCTGGAGACCAAGTTCAGACAGAAGAGACAGGGTAAATGCTAAGTGTAGTGAAAGTACATCAGGAGGCGACGCTACCAGCAACCAATCATCAAGGTAAGAGAAGACAGTGATGCCTTGCAAACGAAGGTAAGCTGCCACCAGAGCCAAACACTTTGTAAATACTCTCAGCGATGTAGACAACCCAAAAGGGAGAGGCTTGAATTCATAGATTACGCCATCCAGCGAGAAGCAAAGAAATCGGCAGTGTTCAGGATGGATACTGATGTGAAAGCAAGTGTCCTTGAGATCAATGAGCACAAACCAGTCCCCCTGCCTGACCATCTGAATAGTACCATCGAGGGAGGCCATACGAAAATGCCGAGGTGTAATGTAAACATTCAAGGACCTGAAATCAAGAATCAGCTGGAGTCCACCATCTTTCTTGGGTACAATAGCGTGAGAAAAAACTACTGGAAACAGGATTCTCCACCAAAGTGATGGCATCCTTAAAGAATAGCAACTTCCTCACGTAGTACAGGTGAAGAGTTTGTGTTTCTGACAAAACTGGTGCAAGGTGTAGAGTCAAACTCAATGGCATAGCCAGCGGCAATAATGGTGGGAACCCAAGAGTCGGAGGTAACAGACCTCCAGGCATCAAAAAATTGGGCTAATCTAACCCCATGAAGAAATGGTGCTGGTAGCCGTCCTGGTGGCGGGATTGCTGGCATTGCCTCTGCCTACCAGACTGTTTGAGGAGTAGGGCCAACGCCAAGAGCCACAGGACGCTGACTGAGCCGAGATGGATCTGACTGTCCTTCTGTTTTAATAATCTCTCCAAGATTTCATCCGTCTTTGGATTGAAGAGCCCCAACCCATCAAAGGGGAGATCTTCAGTCCGGTTCTCACATCATCTGTAATGGAGGCAGACCGAAGCCATGCATGCCTTTGGAGGGCAACAGCCATGGCCAGCTGCTTCGAGGAGATGTCCACTATGTGTCTGGCTGCAACCCTCTCCTGTCGAGCCAGGGATATAGCCTCCTGGTGGTCCATGAGGCAGGTAGCTCTCAAGCCCTCCGGTGTGGTGCTCTGAGCGGGGAGGATTGCGTTCCACAAATGCCTGTGGTAGGCCCCCATGGCCGCAAGGTAGTTGGTCTCATGGTAAAGGTGGCAAAGATATAGGCCCTCCGCCCCAATGTGTCCAACTTCCTGCCCTCCTTGTCTGACGGCGACGAAGACTTGGTTCGAGCACGGGATTGTGTGCCATCCACCACCAAGGAATTGGGTGGATGTTTTGCAAGGAACTCGGTTCCCGCCCCATGTACCTTATATAGGTTCTCAACCCGACAAGGTACTTGCTGGGAGATAGAAGACTTATCCCAGAATTCCTTGGCCAAGCTGAGATGGGATAAAAGCCAACCTAACAGACGCTAGGTGGTCCTTGGTCGGGTTGTTCCAATTGTGGCTGTACTACTGCAAGATCAAGAACATCCACAATCCTCTTAATTAACTGTGTGTACGAGGTATAATCCTCCAAAGGAGAAGGAGGATGGCTGCCTATGGTGACCGAGACTGGAGTAGGGAGGTCAGCTGGAGAAGACTCCCTAATTTCCCCTTCATCCGAACCTGAGTCCGACTCAGGCTCAAGGACATGGTCTGGCGAGCGAGTTGGTGACTGACCCCAAGGGAACTCCGACTCCAAGCAAACCAGGTCCTCCAAAATTTCCTCCTCTCGAGCCCAAGAGAACGGAACAGGTGACAAAGGGGCCTGCGCTGGAAGCTCAAGACGGCATTGAGAGTCCTGGGTCGAGCCCAACAGAGGATACCTCGCAGGATGGGCTAAGGGCTGTTCCCTTAGCACGTGGCTCTGAAGGAGGGCCAGACGGCCTTTGAAAATGGTCTTCTGAGTAAGGCGAGAACTGTTGAAAATGATGGCAGAACGACTCCACCGTTAAAAGGCGAAGAACGCTGTGGGATCGAAAGGCAATGGAAAGGCTGAACCCTCAAAACTGAAGCCTCTCAGTCTTGAGGGATACTGAGGATCTTCCGATGATGGTGGTCGGGGTTGAGGTGGAGCAGACTCAGGCTTGATGTGCTGCGTCTTCCGTTTCCTTTTCTGGGGTAGTAGGGCCACCGGCTAAGGAAAAGAGGGGACTGGTGTAACCGATCAAGGTTGTGGCGAGTGAAGGGGCGATCCAGAAGCCTGACTCAGATGAGGAGAAAGGGGTGCCACTGTCCCAGTAGACTGAATGCCCTCATCCTCCAAAGCCTCGAGCTCAACTGTAGTCCCAGGCAAAAACATCAGTGTTGATGGAACCACCAACAGAGCTGTCCTTTTCTTCTTCTTGGTCAGGCTCGGGCCCGAGGGAGGCTTCGACGCCAAAGCGGAGGCCATCAATCTCAAGGATGACTTTTTTGCGGGCAGCAGAGATTGCCCAGAGACAGAAGACGCCTCGGATGGTGGGGCACTCGGAGGATCCATTCCAGGAACAGGTGGGTCAAGAGACTTTGACCAGAGATGTACCTTTAGCCAATCTTGCCTGTGCTTTAAAGCAGGCTTTGTGAAGGCCTTGCAATAGGAGCACAAGGCTGGCCGATGCCCTTCCCCTAAACAGAACAGGTACTTGGAATGGCTCTCCTTGGAGGGAATCTTAACTTACAGGCCATGCAACATTTAAAGGGTATTTCAGAGGCCATAAATGCCTCAAACACAGTTTTTTGATTTCAAGCCAACTCACGATTGCAGAGAGTAAACAGTTCCATCCAAGTAAAACAAGGGAGGTCGAATAACAATTGTTTAGGGAAAGGAAGAAGTGAAAACACAGAGAAGCTCCGAACAATGCTGTTACAGTCGCAGCAGAAAATGGAACTGAGGAACCCAGTGCTGGAGATGGAGATATAGCCTAGGTGGGAGGTGCTTGAGCTCTAGAAGTTTCCGAAGCTGCTCTGCTCAGGCGCAGATTAACCCACTAGTTTGCATTCACAGAGACCACAAAGGAGAATCGGAAGCCCCCTACATTTGGGGAAGGAAATTCGTCCTCTGCACCCACCATTCCCCTTTGGTGTGGCAAAGAACTAAGAGATCTAATAGCAGCAAACGTATGAAATGAGTGTTGATTTTGCAAGACTTTGATTTTGAAAAACACAGTGTAAAAGGATCTCAGAATATGGTCACAAATGCTTTGTCTAAAAGGCCAAATGACTAGAAAAAAATTCTTTTTTTATTTATCTAAGATCAATATTAACTGTTCTGTTTGTGTAATATTTATCGGATATGTTTAAAGTGCAAAATTTACTTGGCTATTAATAAACTAAGAGGTAGGTAATGGTATGTATCTTTAGTAATGTAAGAGGTCAAGATTTACATTCTTCCACGAACCTTAGTTTGCTTATGAGGGCAAACCGTTAAGTTTCCCCTCCTAAAACAAACTAATTAAGGGGGGAGAGATGTAGTGTTCACCCTGCTCATTAATATTCATACTGAAATTTACATGCACCAATAGGAGGGGGAGGGGCAGAGTTATGTGGGGGGAAAGGAGAGGGAGGGAGGGAGTAGGTGGTGAGTGGAGAGAGAAGTGAAGAAAGAAGGTTGTTTAGTTAAGAGTTAATGACATTGACTAGACTTTTATCACTTTTAACAATAAACAATTTCTACTTGGTTCTTAAATGATACATTGCCTGGACCTCTGTCATTAATAGTGAACAAAGTTGATATAATCAACTGGTGGCAGTTGACCAACACATAGCGTGCGCCTTTGATTGGTGAAAACGACCAAAAGCCATGCAGGAATGTGACAAAGCGTTTTTTTTTTTTTAATAGTGGAAAACATATTTACAAATGAGGGCAAGCTGACCAGAATATACTTACTTTTGGAGCTGTTTGTCTAGATCTGCATTTTCATATCTTGAGTCTCTAATTCGTCCACTGAAAATTCTATAAATTGAAAAAAAAAGCTCAAAATCAAAAATTAAGATAAAAACCTGAGATTTGTCTGTACTTGTTCTGTACATAACAAAAAGAGTACTTAGCTAATAGAAAACCAGTTAAGCCTATACACTTTCTTCAGTAGCTTTCAAAAAGTAATTCTCGTAAATATCCATGTTGCATAGGATTATATCTAGTGTATCCTCCTCTCAACAGAACAGCTTCCTAAAAGATTGGCGGAAGCCTCTGTAAGAGAGGAAGGAGTTTTTAGAGTAGTGAGAGAAAAGGAAAAGGCCACTGTATGAGCACAGGTTTGCTTCAACACTGTTGGAATTTTTCTGCAGGGGAAGAGAGTCTCTCAGGATGTCATCTGTCTCCTATAGAAAATACACTTATTGCAGCAAATATCTTTGTTACCCAGAGGGAAAAACCTTGCCATATTAAAATACTTTGGAGGAACTTTTCAGGCTTATGCTTTCTAGCAGAATTTTCTTTTCCTGTTTCCCAGTACCAATAAACTGTTAAAAGATCTTTTGGAAATCTTGCATTCAGAAGCTTGGGTATCCAAACTTTCCTCACTTACCTGCAACTTTCAGTGGGTAAAAATATAACATCCAATAGTAGTAAATTAACTTAACATACGGATTTCAGTCATTTGCAGAAACTTTGCTTACTGTGCTTTCCTCTGAAGTGTTTGAATAATTAGGTCTTCCTTTTGCAGACTCAGTAAAAATCGGTTACGTGCCACACGATATTTTGCAACTGACATATTTAAGTCTGAGGATCTTGAGTTCATAGCTTCTGGATAAAGTATGCCTGAAGCTAAATAAAAATAACAGACTGTCAATGTTTCTTCATCCTGCTTTACTTTGGCCACTCCTCTAATCTTATATAGCTGCTTCTCTTCTGTGCAGTATCACAGAATTCCAAGTGACCACTCAAGAATTCTTGCATGCAGCTGTGTGTATCCACAACAGTACACAAGAAGTAGGTTGAGTACTATCTATTTCAAAGATTTTTATACATCCTTTAACAAAGCTTTTAGACCACCTTTTAAAATTACATATTGCAAGTATAATACCCAAACAAACTAGTGTGTCCAAACCTCCCTTTTGTGGAATCTTAAGAGGGAGCCTGCAAGTTAACAATACAGTGGTGCCTCGCTTAACGATTGCCTTGTTAAATGACGAAACCGCTTGATGATGAAGTTTTTGCGATCACTTTTGCAATCGCAAAAGGATGTTCCTATGGGGAAAATTCGCTTGATGATCGGTTCCCTGTTTCGGGAACCAATTTTTCACTAAATTATGTTTCTGAAACAGCTGATCGGCAGCTCTAAAATGGCCGCCCGCTGTGCAAAATGGCTCCCCACTGTGTTTTCTGGACGGATTCCTCGCTTTACAGGCAGCGAAAATGGCCGCCCCTATGGAGGATCTTCGCTGGACGGTGAGTTTTCAGCCCATTGGAACGCAGTAAACAGGTTTCAACACATTTCAATGGGCTTTTTTGTTTTGCAAGACGATGTTTTCTCAAGACGGCGATTTTCGCGGAACAAATTAATATCGTCTTGCGAGGCACCACTGTAGTACAACAGTCAACAAATGCCAAAAAGACAGGTTTCCCATCATTTCTGATGATGTAGCCACAGAAAAACAGATGCATCCAACAAAACATCCATTTTTCCAGAACAGTTCCCCAGCAAATGTTCGCATTCTCTAACACATGAGAGTTATACAACAGGAAAGATCCTTAAAAGCATATAAGCTTCCCAAAACATGCACCATGCCTGAACAGAAAGCATTATAAGAACTATACAGCATCTTGTTCTACGCTACTGCTTACCTGCAGAATCTGTTTTAATATGATGCATTATGACATATCTTGCGAAGTGGAACATTAGATGAATGAACTTAGGGCCACCAGGGGAAAGGAATAGTGATGCAACAATTGGAGGAAAGTTTTTTCCACATTCATCCTAGGGAATTAAATGGATTAGGAATAAATTTCAGACAGTAAACAACCTTACTGTTTTAGCTATTGTTTGTCTGAATTTTGTTGTAAGCAGGAAATAGAACAGTATCAAAGTTTTTCCCTTCCTTGTGAGATAATTCTCTATTCCAAGTTTTACCATCATCCAAAGTTTTACACAGGGTTAAAGCCTTCCCGATACCCATAATCAAATGGCTTTTACCTTTCAGCACCATATAAGTATCTTGTCAATTACCTTTCTGCCATTGTAGTAGAACAACTTCCATTGTATTGGATCTCATATGTCATGACTGTGTTAGCCATATTCTCAAGCTGGTATTGGATGTTCTAAATATAACTGCTGAACTACTGCATAAAGGTTGGGCAACTGTAGTATTGCAGCTCATGTTTCTAGAAAGAAACTGGCTATGTGGCTAAGGCTGATAGGAACAATGCAACAACTACTGTATGTGGTCACAAATTGATCACCCCTTCCTTAAGCATGGAACTATGCTCAAGCTTTTATTTAAAGGGACACATCTGGGATTTAAAAATAAAAGCAGGAAGAGTAACACATATACAGTGGTGCCTCGCATAACGAGCGCACCGTTTAACGATGAATCCGCATACTGATGCGGATTTTGCGATCGCTAATGCGATCGCATACCGATGTTTTTTCGCATAGCGAGGGGGAACAGCTGTTCGGCGGTGGCCGGAACACCCAAAATGGCTGCCGGAACACCCAAAATGGCCGCCGGAACATGGGGGAACATCGCAGAACGGTGAGTTTTGGGCCCATTTGGAACGCATTAAACATCGTATAGCAATGTTTCCCCATAGCGAAGGTTAATCCGGAACGGATTAACCTCGCTATGCGGGGCACCACTGTACTAGTAGTGAGAAAAACATTTTCAGATCCTGAATTGTAGCAAGTATCACCAGCCTGTTACTTTTCAGGATAGCAAAGCAATGTCTGTTCTCACCAAGCAAACAAGAAAACAACTGAGGAAGGGTGGAGGATTCTCCTGTCCTTCACACTCTTTTCTGGCTGTTTCTTTAAACCATTTCTCTGCTCTAAATGCTTCTCTGCTATCATTTTGAACAATCCATTTTTCTTAGCTGATCAACAGCCATGAAACGTGAAAAGGTAGTCAGAGTAATGCACAAGAATTTCCCACCAAGAGGTGTCAGCACAAACTAAAATTTATTTTCATAGACCACCACATGCATATTGATATGTGGGAGACATATACAATGATCCTTTCTCATTCTTACCAATACTTACTGAAATTTTTCTTAGCCATTCATAGCACTGTTTCCTGAACTCAGAATCTGCTTTTTTATCTGCAGGAGGAAAACAAAACCTTTCCATTCCCAGGGAAAGGAAAGAGGCTAATTTCAACATATGCTCAAGAAATCAGGTAGTTTATTTTTCAAACTATCCAGTAATCAAACAATTCTTAACATTATCTGAATGCACTTGCACTACCATGCTATTTTGTTCATTGAATAATAACCTAAGAAGAGCAGTGTAACACATATATAGTTGTAACTCTATTTCTAGGCTGGTCAGTGGTTCCCATTGGGGGGGTTGCAACTTGGAGCCAAGTGCCCTCCCACTGCATTTGCATTTAAAATTATTTTTAATGGAGTAAAGTCATCCACTCTCAGAAAGTAGAGGCATCTTTTTCCCCCTAAAGGGCTTACTTCTCATACACATGCACACTAACTTTAACATACTGCCCCAGAAGGACAAAGAAATAAATATTTAACTAGTGTTATGACACATATGTAACTACAACCCCCTAGAAAACTTTGTGACCCCCTTTGAATCATGCCGCCCAGGTTGGGAAACACTGTACTAAATGATACCACTATAATTTTGGAAGCAGAAAGTCTCATGTTCTACATACTGCAGCATAACTACAAGGGACTGCCACTGCCTCCGAAATGCCTCCAGAAACATCATACAGCACTAAGAATTTGCCTATGTTGAAAACATTTGTTTTACAACATCTACATGGGCTTCCAGTTCATTTCTGAACACAGCTGAAGGTGCTGTTCATTGCCCTTAAATTCTAAATCGCTTTTATCAAGAATACGAACCTGTTTCAACTTCTATAAGCCTGTACAGTCTAAATATTCAGTCTTTATAAAAAGTGAGGAGTTGTTTATTTGTAAGGGATCTCATCCACTTCCCAAAGTGGTTTTATTTTAGTGATGTATTTCAGCACACACATAATACATCACTGAATAGATACTACTCCTCACACTAAAATAGAGTGTAAATTCTATGTTCTGCAACTACTTGGTGATACTAATGGAAAGGGGGATTTTACAAGACTTGAAACTGAATAGTTTCAGGAAGTTGTAAGGGAGCTCACTACAGTGGTGCCTCGCTAGACGATGATAATCCGTTCCACTGAAATCGCTGTTTAGTGAAATCGTCTAGCAAAAAGCATTTCCCCATTGAAACCTGTTTAATGCGTTCCAATGGGGAAGAATCGTCGTTGTCTAGCGAAGATCAGCCATAGGAAAGCCGCTTTGCAAACCGCCGATCAGCTGTTTAAATAGCTGTCTTGCGAAGCTTAGATGCCCAAAACACCCATTTTGCGAGCACGGAGGGAGCTGTCAAAATTGTTGTCTAGTGAAAATTGGTTTGTGAAGCAGGGACCAAACATTGTCCAGCGAAATTCCCCCATAGGAATCACTGTTTTGCGAATCGCTATAGCGATCGCAAAAAGTCAATGCCTAGCAAAAAAACCTGTCATGTGGGGTAACTGTCTAGCGAGGCACCACTGTATTTGTATTCGCGAAGGCTTTCAAGGCCAGGATATAATGGTTGTTGTGGGACTTTCGGGCTCTTTGGCCGTGTTCAGAACACGGCCAAAGAGCCTGAAAAAACCACAACCATAAGCTCACTATTTGTTTCTCTCCAGAACACTGCACAAAAAAGATCAACAAATCAAGAAAATGTTTGTAGACGGAAGAAATGAAACTGACATTATCTGTGCATTTCCCCTTGAGCCTATAAATTACATCTAAGCAATCCCCACACACCATGTAAACAATGTAAAATCTTGGAAGGAGAAAGGTAGACAAATATCCTTATTTCTTGTACAACAAGACTACACCACTATTATACATGATTTGTATATCAACATATTTCTTTTGAATTGGGCCCAGCAGCTCAGCCCAACAAAGTTTAAGTACACAACAACAAATTCAAGAGTCCTTGTAAAAACATCCTGCAAAACGACAATTTTCTCCCAAAAGAGAAGTTGCCACTGGCATCTGGTAGCTGCATGCGCACTTTGTTGCTAAGGCAGCCAAAAAAGCAAAACTGGCAAGTTCGCCATCACTCTTTCCTATGCTGGATAACAGAAGACTATTTTAGAAAGGGTAGTAGAGCACTTACACAAGGCCAACCCAGGTCCTGGGAACAACAGTTTTTAATTTAGCAATCAAGGATAACCAGAACAAACAAACTTAAGAAAAAAGACATTCAAGAATACAGCATTATTTAATGATGTGAAATTTTATGCTTACCTGAAGATTTCATTGCAGCGTGATTGGTCCAGTTTTGAAAACAAGAACCAGGCAACAATGTGAAATGCATCTTTGTTTGGTTTTTCAAACATATTCCTTTAAAAATCAAGAAAAGGAACTATTAATGTTGAGAAACATTACTGCAGAGTTAAAATATGACCTAGAGAGATGCAGTGATGGGAAGTATTTCACCTGTTCACAAATTTGCCCCTTAGAAAAGCACAGCAATATTTTAAACCACCTAATATTACAAGAAATAATAACTGATATCTGAAACACATACTTCTACTGCTGCAACGTTTTCTAATAAAAAAGGCACCCCCTAGATGCATGACAATTGGTTAGTACAAATATGGTATGTACAAATATGAATTTGGACTACTGTATATTGTTGCTGCTTCTACCCCACCATCAGGAACTCCTGGAAGATGAAAGTGGGGAAATGCTATTGATTAATTATCAAAAGAAGTACACCAGGAAGAGGAAAAGTCAGGCAATTCACGAATGCCGCCCTGGCTACAAGCAGCCCCAGCGTTTCCCCGGCACTCACACGCCCAGACGGAGGTGGGCGGAAATTTTCCCGGCGGCAGCTTCTGCGGGGTCAAAACCCAGCGCCAAAAGGTAGTGCCAGAGATGCTCTTTCTCCCAAGCCGGAGGTGTGGCGCTCATCTTCGCAAACCGGTCGGTTCAACCCAACTTAATGGCGTCCACGTCCGGTGATAGCCCGCGACTAGGTCGGATGAAGCGGCTAACGGATCCACCCCAAAGCCCTTCTCCCGCTCGACAGCAGCCTTCTTTCCCTGTTGTCTCCCCCTCTATACCGCCCCTTTCACGTTCTTCCAGACGTATTTTTAGCAACCTTCCTCACAATTGCCTTCACCACCCTTCTGCTTAAACCGCCAAAAAAACATAAATCGAAGGGACGGGATCACTGCCCCACGCCGCGAGGGACACTTCAGCCAATCAAAAGACGCGTAGTTCCTACATTGACGCTTCTCGTGGCGGGCGCTTTATATATGGGAGGGGGGGGAGGGAAACAACTTCCCATCCCGGAATGCACTGCCGCTGCCTCCCATCGGAAAAAAACATAGATACAAACATGTAGAGTGAAAGTAACCAAAGGAGTCTTGTAGCACTGCTGTTGTTCTTACCGCACCATATGGCGATCCTTTGAAAGACTGCTCCCCAGAATGTCCTGTCATCAACAGGCCCTGCTCTGATCTTGTAAACTCAGGCCTGTGGTTCCCTTATGTAGTCAAATCCATCTTATATTTAGTCTCCCTGTTTTCCTGCTGCCTTCAACCTTTTTTCCAGCGTTATTGTCTGTCATGGTTTAGGTTATTAGGGCTCAGATGTAATTTCTGAATGGGATTTGTAGTCATGGAATTGTGTTGATTAGAAGGAATCCATATTGGTCTGTGTTAGCATTAGATGCTTTGAGAAGCTGTTTTCTCCTAGAGCGAGCTGGAATTTTCCATTAAGCTGACTTGGCCAGAGACGATAAAGGTCAAGACACAACATCAGGACGATGGTCAAGAACACCTGCAGCTGATTTAGAAGTACGCTTACACCTGGAACCTCTCTGTTCAAGCCTCAGGTGCTCTTTTAGAAGACCCTGGGTGCTCACATTGTCTTCTCATGATGTGCCCAAAGTATGACAGCCTGTTTTGTCATCTTTGCATTCAGAGAAAGTTCAGGCTTGATTTGCTCTAGGACCCACTAGTTCGTTTTTCTGGCTGTGTCGGCACATCTCTCTCCAACACCACATTCCACATCAATCATTTTTCTTCCTGTCCATTTCCTTTAATGTCCAACCTTCACATCTGTACATAGCGATCAGGAATACAATAGTACGAATTATCTTGGCCTTGGTCTCTAGCGACACAACCTTATACATTTTATTTATTTATTTATTTATTCTAGTTCGTTTTTCTGGCTGTGTCGGCACATCTCTCTCCAACACCACATTCCACATCAATCATTTTTCTTCCTGTCCATTTCCTTTAATGTCCAACCTTCACATCTGTACATAGCGATCAGGAATACAATAGTACGAATTATCTTGGCCTTGGTCTCTAGCGACACAACCTTATACATTTTATTTATTTATTTATTTATTTATTTAACTTATATGCCACCCACACTACCCGAAGGTTTCTGGGCGGCTTACAGCATTTAAAATACAATAAATCATGAACTTTTCTAGTTCCTTCGTTGCTGCCCTTCCAAGTCTCATTCTTCTTTTGGATTTCTTGGCTGCAGGTTCTGTTTGGAATGATGATTGAACCAAGGTAAACAAAATCTTTAACCATTTCAGTTTCTTAATTGTCAATATTAAAGTTGTGTAGTTCTTCTGTAATGATTTTTGCTTTCTAAATGTTCAACTGCAGTCGTGCTTTAGCACCTTGTGGTGATCCCCCTTGTTGCCCCTTTATTTCCTTTGGGCTCCACAAAGGTAAACACGCCTTTTTCCTTCTTTTCGCTGCCACCAGGTATTTTTCCTAATACCACTACAATTCCCACACACAGGAGCTGCTCATATAACTTAGGAATCAAGGGTTTGATCAAATATTCTTTTATTAGTGAACAAAATCATCAGGAGAATCAAATATATAACTGTGTCTGGTGTGCATATATTAGTTCATGCATTCAATCACTGGTATTTCTCATGTTATGCTTATGTGGCCATTCCTGCTTGTTCAGTATATGTTACTCTTTCAATTTCCTTTCTTAACCCCTTTTTAGCTATTCCTAAACCCTAGCACTCTCTCCACATCTTGTGGTCCCTAATTCTCTCTATCTCTCCCTGATTCCAACTGTCTTTAACTGACTCTTCCAGCTGTCTGTCATTCTGATTCCGCCCCTCCTGCTCTGTCCTCTGATTGACATGCAGGAATGATATCATCTTTTGGGTTCCGCTACACACCTTTAACTTTCATCAGAAATTGTTTCAAGTCATTGCCACTTTCTGGCAATGAGATGGCATTATTTGCATATCTTAAATTATTGGTGTTTCTCCACCAATTTTCATTCCGCGCTCTGAGTCACCTCAACAGGTAAGAGGATAAAATGCATCCTTCTCTGACACCTTTGCTAATAGGAAACCATTCTATCTCTCCATATTCTGTTCTAAGGGTAGCTTAGCCCAATACAGGACAACCAAGAGCTGAGGCACACCCTTGTCTTTCAGAATGTCCCATAGATTCTTGTGATCTACATAAATCAAAGGCTTTGCCATAATCTAATCTACTCTAATACAACTTAGTGGAAAGAGAACATATTTTCATGTTGAAAATTCTGAAGCCGTATTAGAACTGGCTGCCAGTCCATTTCTGGGTACAATTGAAAGTGCTAATTTTGACTTAGAAAGCATTAAATTGCTTGGGTCCAAACTACCTGAAGGACCATATCTCCCTTCATGAGCCTGTTTGGTTTTTTAAATCATCAGAGGAGACGTTTTGCTACATGCTCTTCTGTTCAACAAATACCCTTACAAATAGATAATCAAAATCAGGAGGAAAAAGTTTCCATCTAACATTCTCCCTGGAATGATTGTTTTCTCTGTGAAGGGAACTGTTTCACATTAACATCACTGAATGCTCCTATGTGCAAGAGATCTAAACCTTTATTGCATCCTGTGTTCGGGGGGGGGGCTGTATGTACATCTGCAATACAGAGAAATGAGATATTTGTTGTCTTCTGTGATCCAGGGGTCACCTATGGTGGAGATGGATGGCAAAAGTCTCTTCCCAACTGTCTCTTTGTTCAGCAAGATTGCTGTTTGGTGTTGTGATTTTTTCTACTCCTAGCAACAGGAAAATGGCAGTCTTCCAAGCCAAGGAACAAACATTTTCTCCACAGCCCAGTTGATCTGCAAAAACAAGTGTGTGGGGATCTCACCAGCTTTTTGGAGCCCACAGGGAGCAACTAAGGACTGCAGGTTCTGTGTTCCAGCAACTAAGGACTGCAAGTTGTGTGTTCCATCCCCACAATGTGAACTGCTGTAGTGCAGAACTACATTTATTACTTGGGGAAAAACAAAACAAAACCTGGGCTTACAGTTTGAGAAGGCACCAAATATCAGAAGACAAAATCACAGAGAAAGGGACCACAAAGTCCTTCCACGGCATTAGAACCTGAATAGGGTTGGCAGAAGTCCGGCAAAAGGAGGACGTGTACTATTTTTGAGGAGCATGTCCTCTGTCCAGCAGGCAAAACTAAAAACTTCAAAATGTATCTCCACCCCCTGCAGCTGAACCTCTCCCTATTACTTCCTCAGTTGTGGCACTTGTTAAATCTTCCGGTTCTTTCAGAGAGATCGGAGATAAGGTGGCTTGATTGTTTAGGGCTGCAGCCCCGGGCAATCAACCCCCGGCTTGTGGATGGCTGCTTCTGCCTGGGAGCTGAATAAGGCAGGAAGGTGCGAGAGGGATGAATGGAAACCGGGACAGGAGTGAAGTGAGTGCACTTGCTTGCCTGCTGGAGGGGAGGCTGTTCTGGGATTTGGGGTGGTGTTCAAAGCCAGGGAAATAGGGGTCGGTCCGGTCCCTCCTTCCTCCTAAAGCCAGGAAACAGGAGGCATTTTTATCCCCCCTTCTGCCCTGACCCCCCCAACTCTGGGGCATGTGCAGAGTGCGTTTCCAGGTCCAGGAGCATATACAGAGTTATCTCCCGTGCTTGTGGGAGCTGGAACACACACAAGCAGTTTTTTCTCAGCTTGAGCAATTGCAAAAGGTAGAGAAAATGGCTTTGTGTGTGTGTTTGTGTGTCTGCAAATCCATTTTCTCCACCCTTTGCATTTCTCAAGCTGAGAGAAATCCACACCTTCTGGGGTTTTTTCTGGTTTTTATAAAGTGTTTCAAATCTGTCACACAACTTTTAAAACTTTTTATTTCACTTTATTATGCTTTTATTAAAATTTAAAAAAATCAATAAGTAAAACAAGGGGGGTGGGTCTCCATTAAAGGAAGGAATAGATTGTCTCCATTGGTCCTGGGAGCCCAATAAGTGTATATGTAGATTTGTTTTATTTTTATTTATTTTTTTAAATTAAAACACGAAAACACAGTGGCCAGTGGATTCTGAGTTTTGTGGTCCAAAAAATGTAACTTTCCCAGTCTTGACCTTTCAAGACTGAGTAGGTTGAATGGTTATGGTATTGCCCCATGATCAAAGAGCTATTCTCCCCAATACCTTATTCCAAAAGTGACATACCGCCCACCCCACCCTGTGCACAGAGCCCCCGCCAGCCTGTACTCGTTTGCCCTCTTTTGTGGCGTTCTATGTCCTCCTTTACATATACATGTATCTGGCAACCCTAAACCTGAAAGAAGTGTGTGTTAAATTTTTAGCATACAGAATCAGGCAGATATATTGCTATGTCAAAATCAATGACAAACTCGAGTTTTTTTTTCTCCCAACAGGAGAAAAAGTACATATCCAGCAATATAGAAATAGTTTACAGAGAAACTCAATTATTTGAGAGATTTGAGGCAACATATTGTCTTATTAGACAGGCTTTCATGTGAAATGGAGCATTGTTTCTAAAGCAGTTCTAGGTCAAACTGTGATATAGGGCTAAATTCAGTTTTAGTTCCAAGTAGAGAAAACCCACTAAAATAAATGAAATTTGAGTTACTCATGGGTAACACATTCTGTTAATTTCAATGGGTCTCCAGGTTGGGATTAACACTGGATTGTCCTACACAGATATTTCAGACCAGTTGAACATCTTTAACTGGCCTGGAAGACAAAAAGGCCTTTCATGCATGCTAAAATATTAAACTAGTGTGTCATACAAAACAACAATGAAAAAGACAGAATTTCAATTGATCTAGATGAAAACAAAAGTTATTTATATTCCTCAAGGACTAAGTAACTGCATTCAAAAAAATCAGAATAATTAGTAAGCAAAAGTGTGCATGAATCTCTCTCTCTCAAAATAACAGTTCTTTCTTTTGTTCTTTATGCCTATTCGACTTGTTGTCCTGTTGTGAT